AATCCACAAGGTAAAGTAGTTGGCCTGATCTACAGTGAGGGACCAGGGCCAGGGGCCGTGTCACCTAGAAGCAGGAACACATAGAAGAGAATCCTTCCTATTCAAGCAAACCAGTTGAAGATCTCAAGTTCTTCTTGAAAATGAGAGAAGTTAATTATACCCATCACCTTTCCTGTGTTAAGGCTGTGGCACCTTCCAGCAGACAAGTTGTACTGACTTCATGATTCTATCTGGAAGCTGCTGTTCTCCAGAAGCTGACACTGATATTAAACAAAAAACCAAACAAACTGTACCTTGATTTTAGATAATTTCCACTACACCTAAGTACAGCCTCAACAGCAAGTGTCCCAGTATGTAGATGCTTTGTCTAAAGTAATCGTGGATAATCGACAGGCCCAATAATCTATTTTCACCAGAGTGGTCAGCCATGGATCTGGCTCATGTACTCTAGGCAGGCTGCACTTGTGGTATGATACCATGTCAATCTGAGAGCTGCCAGCTAGGGGGTCTAATGCTGGCATCCTACAAAATGGCTGGACCTGTACTGAGACAATTTGGGAGTGTGCAGATCTGAGGCCTCATAGGTAATAAGGAGGTGGTGTACACAGTCTCTCAAAATGTCATGAAAGTGGGCAAGCCAGAGCCTGTTGCTGGAGTTTAGCATGCTGTGGTCACTGTTATTGCATTGATCTTGAAAGGCACGGCAGGAACCTGATGGATTCTAGGTGCTCACAATTGTGTTAGGACAGCACCCAGAGAATAGAGTATGAGTGAGTAGAACCCCACTGATGGTCTTTGGCATCACAGAGGAACCTGGCCTCTCATGTCCTAGAAGCAACAGGAACTCTAGTCTCAAGGACCAAAAAATTTGGTGGAGTCTTGGCATTGGATAACACTGTGCATGTTGTGCTACTCTGCACACCAGTTGAGGTTCTTGGATGCCACTTTAAATGACAGAGCAATGCCAGTAACTTTTTTTTTTTTTTTTAGGTCAGTAACTTCTTAGAGTGACTAAGATGATATGGGGATCATAGCCACCAACAAAAGCCACATATTGTATGGCTTGTGATATACATTCATCAGATATGGAGAGATTTCTAAACCCAGGACTTGTAAGGTCTAAATCTCTAATAAACAAGAAGCAGCTGCAAAAGATTAAATGAAACTATATCTTTGAGCAACTTATATGAATAGCAGTTGGAAATCTCAGAAGGGAATGAAAAAACAGGCAGATAGCAAGCTCAGACACACTAGTTGGAGGCCATTTATCTTATATAATACAGCTTTACTACTTCTCAGCCATATACCCTTCCCCAGATTTAACTCACACTCATCAGGGATTGGAGAGTGATGTTCTGTAACTACTCCCCTTCCCAGGCTCATGAAAAGCCAGGCAAAGCAGAAGGTCAGTCCCTGTGGATACAAGAGGAAAGTAGAAACAGCTTTCTTCTACTTTTCCTCTCCTGCCTACTCTAACCCTGAAAGTTTTTTTCTGTGATTTCCTCAAATTCCAAATAAACTTGACAGAAAAAAATCAGCCAAATTCTAAAGCATTCTTTGACTTATAAATCTGAGTGGTTGTATGAGTGAGCAGTATACATTTAGTACATGTTTTCTTGTAAATCTTTAAAAGTTTCTGGCATAAACATGACTATTTTACCTCATTTGGGCTACTTTTCAACAAAACATGCATAACAATTTATTTCACTTAAATTCTGTTTATCCTATTGGTCAGTTTAATCACAGATTTAAGGTAAAATAACCGAATTCTTTTAAGTCTTTTAGAGCCCACCTTTCCCTAAGCAAATAAAACTCAATTCGGCAGAGAATACTTGAAACATGACCAAAGACACAAATTCATTGCTTAATAAAACAGTTGAAAAACCTAAGAAAATCCTTGTATAAAATATCTACCACATGACACCTTCTCTTGGGAAAATTTAAATATATTAAGAAAAATCAGAGGTAAGGAACTAGATAAGAATTGATTACAAGTTGAACAGGTGTAATTAAATTCAACGCAAAACAAAAATGCCTTAGAAAAATGATTTGAAGAATTTTTAAAAATTGATTCTCAAAGTAGTCAAATTTTAATTTATTAACTATTAACATAAAAACATGTTTAATGCTATGGCATCAAATTCTAGCTACATTGGAGTGTACCTTTGTCATTTATGATCAATTTTTAGATAATATCAAGAATGTTTTTCTAATTTCAATAAATTTAATTCCATGTAATATTCATCTTTCATAAACCTTGAAAAGCACTCTTCAGTTGTTTATTCTATACTGATCCTATTTTATTTAACCTATAGTGCATCTCCTTTGTAAAATTACTATCTATTACAATTCAGATAAAAAACATCTCTCATACCTGTCTTCAATATTCATGACATTCTCATGCATGTGGCTTCAATTACATTTCTCTCTCCACTATTCTTGGATTTTTTTATTTTACATTAAAAAAAATTAACAAAACAAAAAACTAGGACTATCAATGATGGTCTAGCAGGCTAATCCTCTGGTGCAGTGCCAGCATCTTATGACAATTGGAATCCAAGCTGCTATATTTTATGTTTAACTCCCTACTTATAACCTAAGAAAAAAGAAGATGCCTGTAATTTTTAGGCCCCTGTACATGGGAACACTGGAGGAGACACCTTGGTTTCAATCAAATCAGCTATGGCCATGGCAGCCATCTGGAGAGTGAACTGATGAATGGAATATCTCTCTGCCTCTAGTGTCAATGTATCTTTCAAAGAAAAATTTAAAAATAATGAAACACATCTAAATTAAGAAGAAAAGATTTAAAAGATTCAGAGTTGTTTCTGTAATTATTTTTAAACAATTTTTGAAGTTTGAAGGAATTAAGTGGAAAAAAAAAAACCAGGTATTTTACCCATATGGATTTCCAGTATGAAAAGCAAGGACTTTAGCATTTCATACAGGGATCCCATATGGGTGCCAGTTTGTATCCCTACTGCTCTTCTAGCGTACCAGGCCCCTGCTTGTGGCCAGGGAAAGTATTCAAGGTGGCCCAGGACCATGGAACCCTGCTCCTGGCTCCTGGCTTTGGATCGGCTCAGTCCTGGCCAGCTGTTTTGGCCACCTGGGGAGTGCAGCAGCAAATGGAAGATCTTTCTCTCTGTACATCTGATTTTCAACTTAAAAAAAAAAACCAAAAAAAAAACCCTTAATTTTACATTACATAATACCTTCTTTAGTGTTGTTACACTCAAGTACAGAGCAATGTTTTAAGATGTACAAACCCAACAGTTTGAAAAATTATTAGATAACAACAGCAATTGCACATGAGAAGACACAATAGGGAGATTTAGATTAAGTCCCTGTTGCTCATATGCAGGAGGTGGAAAGATACAGAAAGTGGATCCAATACTCTTGAAACTTGCTTCAACCCATGAATACTGAAGCAGGATCTATAACCTGAATACATAAATACTATTTTACCTGAACCCCAACAAATCCCTTCATTTTCCATATTCGGCCTTCCTAGGAGGCAATGAGAAGAATCAAAGCACATTAGAATGCTATCAGAGGGACTGGGAATGTTTGTGAAGGAAAACTGGAAAACATTAAATAAATCTCACTGTGAAATAGTCTCTCTGCGGTGTGTTCCCAAGGAAGACCTTGGCAAGGATCTCTTCAGCACCAATATCAGAGAGATCACAGCTAGGGGTTCACATGAGAATGCTGGTGGAAATCCGTTAGATATGCACAAACTTCACTCTGCAGTTTAAGGCATGGATTATATCATAAATGACACATTCTTCAGAAAAAGATGCCTCTCTTCTACTTGATGCTCAACATTTTGGAGCTTGAAAGGCTCATGCCTCTAAATAGTAAACAATAGAACTAATCAAGGCTGTCACAGATGGAAAACATGTCAATGTGCTTAATACTAAAGATTTGACTTACCTCAACTTCAGTAATGACGCCCATGCTTAAAATAATTTTTAACTTATTTAAGCATGGAATTACAATTAAGAGACAGAGGCAAAGAGGCATATTCATTCCATTAATTCAAATCCCAAATCATTCCAACAGCAGTTGCGGAGCTGGTGTGAAGCCAGAAGCCAGGAGCTAGATCAGAAGTGAATCAGCTAGGACATGAACCAGTGGTGCCCTAGGTTACCATAGCAGGGTAACCAGAAGTACACCCTATTCTTCCACAGTGCTGGATTTGATTCATCATTATAGTTGAAAGACTTTAGGCACAGGTTGGCATCCATTGGCAAGAAACTTGCTTTGGGAAGCCATTGTGCATGAAATCAGTGTGACCATGAGCAGTAGTTATGGCAGCTGATATTTAAAATCCAGTGGCAATTACCAAAATCTGATACCAGAAAATTCTGATGCCTCTTGCATATACCTTTAAAATCATACACTGAGACAAGGGCCAAAAGTGACCTACAGTTTGCCAGATGTCAATGAATCACTCCCTCCACTGAACAAAAGATCCACCGTTCAAAGCTGGGTGATTAGCATTACAATTGCCACATGCATCAGTTGATATTTGTGAGTCCCACATTAACCTGTAGTAGAACACTGGTGATTTAAACTGTAAAAATAGCTATACAATAGATAACTGTATAAATGATATATGGAATTTTAACCAATGTTTTACAAAGAACATTTATTTTGAAAATTAAAATCTGAAAACAGAACTTATTTACAACAACATGAGATCAAGTACGGAATCCATCTCAAATATTTTAGCAATGCATAGCCTTCTTTTAAAAATTTGACACTCCTCATCTTTATTGTTTGACAAATGTTGAGACGTTCAAAGTGTTTTTCACAACCTACTGCAATTTTAAAATGTGTCCTATCTGTGACCTTACTAATGCTTGTTTCAGACTTTACAAGATTTGGCTATGACAATAAGGTTGTAGTAGCTAGTTTTTCTGTTTACATACCTTTATTTTTCTGAGATTCACAGGATCTGCAGAGGATTGTCTTCAGAAAAATGATTGTTGATAGTCAATGCACTATTTTTGTTCCTTCCTGTGGGTATGCTACTGCATTGTAAATCCATGTCAGTTTTTGCTTTCTATTGCATTTGATGCTTTGTGTACTAATTTTTCAACGCTTGTTCAGGCATGAGAATTTGCTCATGTAATAGCTCTGCTAGCAAAAAGATTTTCCATACTCATCATACTGAAAAAGTTTCTCCCTTGTGTGAACTCTATGATGATTGATTAGGTCTTTTTTATGGCAAAAGGCTTTCCCACACTCAATACATTCATAAGGTTTTTCCCCTGTGTGGGTTCTCTGATGTATGTTCAGCGATGACTTTTGACAAAAAGCTTTTCCACACTCACTACATTTATAAGGTTTTTCTCCTGTGTGAATTCTCTGGTGTATGATTAAGTATGACTTTTGACAAAAAGCTTTCCCACATTCACTACACTTATAAGGTTTTTCCCCTGTGTGGATTCTCTGATGTCTAATGAGAACTGACTGTGTGCAAAACACTTTTCCACACTCATTACATTTATAAGGTTTTTCCCCTGTGTGAATTCTCTGATGTGTGATTAGGTGTGACTTGTGACAAAAAGCTTTCCCACACTCACTACATTTATAAGGTTTTTCCCCTGTGTGAATTCTCTGATGCTTAATGAGACCTGAATGCTGGTAAAAGCCTTTTCCACACTCATTACATTCATAAGCTTTTTCCCCTGTGTGGATTTTCTGGTGTATGACTAGGTATGACTTGTGACAAAAAGCTTTTGCACATTCACTACATTTATATGGTTTTTCCCCTGTGTGAATTCTCTGATGTGTGATTAGGTATGACTTATGACAAAAACCTTTTCCACATTCACTACATTTATAAGGCTTTTCCCCTGTGTGAATTCTCTGATGTACAATGAGACCTGACTGCTGGCAAAATGCTTTCCCACACTCAATACATTCATAAGCTTTTTCCCCTGTGTGGATTCTCTGATGTGCAATTAGGGATGCCTTTTGACAAAAAGCTTTTCCACACTCACTACATTTATAAGGTTTTTCCCCTGTGTGAATTCTCTGATGTACAATGAGACCTGACTGCTGGCAAAAGGCTTTCCCACACTCACTACATTCATAAGGTTTTTCCCCTGTGTGGATTCTCTGATGCATGATTAGGTGTGACTTCCGACAAAAAGCTTTTCCACACTCACTACACTTATAAGGTTTTTCTCCTGTGTGGATTCTCTGATGTATGATTAGGGATGACTTCTGACAAAAAGCTTTCCCACATTCATTACAATCATAAGGTTTTTCCCCTGTGTGAATTCTCTGATGTTTAATGAGAACTGATGGCTTGCAAAAGGCTTTTCCACACTCATTACATTTATAAGGTTTTTCCCCTGTGATAATTCTCTGATGTCTAATGAGATCTGATTGAGCACAAAAGGATTTCAAAAGTTCATTACATTCATATGGTTTGTCCTCAGTGGGAAGTATCTTATCTCTAGCGAATTCTGACTTCTGGTAAATGTTTTTTTTACATTCATTGCACACATGGAAATTTTCTCCTATATCACTTCTCTGTTTGGTGGTAAACCTAGAATTACAGCTAAAAGACTGTTTGCAGTAGCCACATATATAGTGACTTTTTGCTGTTTGGCTTATCTGATTTACTTTGACATCTGTTTTATTCATAAGAGGTTTCTCACTCTTGAAATGTTCATGAAATTTCTTTCCTGAGTGTGTTTGTTGATGCATGCCAAAATACGGATTGCTATGGAACATTTTCTTTTCAACCTGAATTGTTTCTCCTACAATGACAGGGTCATTACATGGGTCTTTGATACAAATTTTCTCACACTTAAGGAACATCTTCCTGCTGAAAGTATTTTCTTTCCTATTGTGTTCAAAAGACTGCTTACAAGTGTACTCCTTGTCATGCTGACTGAGATTTTCCCCACATTGGAGTTTGCTCTCAGGTGCATTAGAGGCATGCTGTTTCCAAATTGAAATTTCATCAGGATTCCTAGGGGAGAAAAAAAAAGACAAAACTCATTTTGAAGTAAATTATGGTGTGTTCCTCTCTCTTTTCAAGAGGCACCCCATCTTTGAGATCTTTCCTGGGGCACACTTTCAACCTCTCCACTTCTTTCTAAGTTCACCTGGCCAATTAGGAAGCAAAAATTCTGTAAGCAATTGAGTCGGAGTTTCTGCTCCTATACTAAGCTGCAGAAAGAGCCACAGAGATTTCCTGGTAACATTTTCTCTCGTGCCCAATACAGGGCATGAAAAAGTATAAGAAGTTACACCAGAGTCATGCGGCTTGACTCAGCAGAGAGAAGAATTCACAATGTTGGCATGCCTTCCCTCAAGTGGGACCGAACCTGTGAAAATGATTCTTGATACCCCATGGCTCTGCATAAACATGGACCACTTCAACCCATCCACTGGCCACCACCTTGCTCTGGCTGAAACTCTAGATGGGTTGTTTTCTTTAGGGGGATGAAGTTAGGAAGTATGGCTGTTTAGTACTTAAGAGTCTCTAATCCCCAACTAACTATTTGTTTTTTTCCTGTCACCTCAATTTCCCTTTTGGAGAAAGGCTCTGAATGCATGTTTGAAAGAAACCTGGTGGAGGACTGACAGTCCCTGTCAGAGGCTACTTTTCTGCATGACTGGAAACTCCCTAGGTGGATTCTGAATGCTGACCACCTGGCATGGTACCCAAGTGCCAACCTCCTTTTTCATGTTTCATTTTGGTTTATTCTTAGTGAAGGAGGAGTGAGATTCATGACACCCCCACAGGTATTCTGCTTGGGTTTGACCATTTGAAATGACTTACTTGGATCTTTGATGGCCCCCTCTACATTCCTGAGATGAAGTGAGAGAAGAACAATTCCTTTATTTTGTCTCCTGGCTCAATTCTATCACCATGTGGCTTGCCACATCTGAGACCTGAACAACCAAAGAATGGGAGGGGTTCATTTGGAACTACACAGTATGAGCCTTTTTCTGGTAGAGACAACCAATGGGAAATGTCTTCCCACAGGTTCCTGCTCAGACAAGGAAGAGTCATGGAACACTTAAAAACCCAAGACCCTTCTGAAAAATGTTGGTGTATCTCCTTCTCTCCACTCAACAGGTATCCCATTTCCTGCTCTCTCCCAGGTGGTCCTTTTCCATTCCCTCTGCTTTCTACATTCACCTGGTAACTCTGCAAATAAAACTTCTCTGTCTGCAAATTAAAAAAAAAAAAAAAAAGAAAGAAATTAGATTTCAATCTTCCTTTTTATAAGAATTTCCCTTTCATATCATGTTTCAATTATGGCCAGAGCTTAAACTAAGCATCTTTGGCAATGCAACTCTTTTAGAAGTTATTATACAACTTTTGTGATTACAACTTGCCTGAAGGTGGTTTCCTGATTTTCCTGATTAGTTCTAAGCAGCTCATTCTTTCTGTAAGGATCTGAAATGAGGAAAAGGAGTAACCATATCTGTGAATCACATCTAAGTATTTATTTTCAAATGCTCAAGTGAGACAATGATGTTTCTTGCCATTCTAGGTATAGCAGACTTTAACATTAGGACAATGCACATATTTATGATCATTACACTTTTTAAATTAATATATTAATATAATAAATAGGGTTTCTTTTTCCATTTTCAATTACTTGGAATTTTGTATTTTAAGTTGATGAGGGTAGAACAGAAAATATGGTACAGAAATTCAAACTATTACATCACATAACAGTTCCAGTTTGTCTTGTCTTGCTGGGATCATGTAAAAGATCAATATTAAGTTCTACATTTTTTGTTTCAGGTTGATAAATTTTAATATTTGAAGGTATTGTCAGAATTGACCTGCACATGGAGACTGTAGAGTGCCTTTGTCTCATGCATGACATAAGCTGATTTTGGAAGAAACATTTTTTTAAAAATAAGCATGAATTCCAGTGAATATTTACTGAGCTATGTATCAACCTCTCTGCTCAGTATGTACTGACCTACCTGGAAGTTGCTGGTTTACAGATTTTTCCACAGTCCATGGTACTGATTCTTGTTCCAACTTGAAGATCACATCAGGTTTTGTTATGTAGTACCCTGTTAGTTGGAAATAATAGAGACTTTGTGAAATCACTCTCTTGGAGCTTAAAGAAGAAAAGATTGGATCTAGAATCTATGTAACAAAACCGATATTATAAATGATTATAAATGATTATAAATAGTCTCAAATACTAGTCTTACTAAGTACTAAACTTTATAAACTCTTCTTTAATTTGTCAAGTATAAAGAAAGAATTCTGCCTGGGCATGACAGAATTTCACTCACCCACGGACAGCAGATTGCTATAGGTCTCAAGCATGACATCCCTGTACAGGGTCCTCTGAGTATTGTCCATGTTCTGCCATTCCTCCTGGGTAATGTCCACAGCCACATCTTCAAATGACACCAACACCTGCAACAGCACATGTCTCCTCAGTTCTGCACCATGAAATAGAAAGACCAACAGTACATTCTTCTACGTATGTTTGATTTGCAACATCTATGGATGCAGCTTAATTTATAATCTATATGGCATTATAGAGTAAAAGCAAAATAAAAATACTCATTCTGCATTACTTTTGCAATTCCAAAACTACAACAGAGTATCCCTTATTATTCTGTAGCAGATTCTTTTCTCTAATGACTCTGATTTTGAAGAAATGTTGCAGGCATTGTTAGAATAAACTCACAAGTAGAAGGTATTTCTCTCAGTTTGTCCCTGTTATTGCCACTCTGCTTTTCAATTAAATTAAGATAAATAAGCATTTAAACATTGAGCAAAAATATTAACTCAGTGCCTGTAATACTGAGTGTTTTCCAACTGGCATGTTCCCCCATATTCTCTTTTGGTAGAATTTCTTCTTATTAGAATGGTATACTGGGGGCTTCTCTACTGATTTCTCAGCTTTCAAAGGGAAAGTTTTTTGGATCACTCACTTAAGACTTAGGATTAGGAAGTGAGTCTGTTCTCTGTTGAAAACAATACATTAGAAACAGAATCTGTATCCAGGGATGTTTCATGTGCAGTCTCCTGAGGAGTGTGACTATACCCTTACCTCAGGAAAACTAAACAGAAAGATGACAAGGCATTATTCTTTGCATATTTAATTTGCAACTTCTAAACACACAGATTAACTTACAATCTATATGGCAACATAGGGTAAAAACAAAACAAATATATCTTCTATATTGCATTTGCAATTCTGAAGTTATAAAGGAATTGTTTTCTCATCCTGTAAGATTATTTTCTCTAATAATTATAAAATGAGTTCACTGTGTAATCTGTAGATATAAATATGAACATTGAGCTAAATAACATGCTAGATTAGATAAGAAAGACACATGTTTAATACTGGATAGGATAGTGAGAAAATTTTTGAATAATTCATGATATTTTTCTCAAACAAGCTGATTTTTAAAAAATCTTATAAAGTGACATTAATAAAATTCAATCTTCTTATTTTAACTTGAAAAATGAAATATTGGAAAAAAATTTTAGATTAAATTTGCACAAATGGGTGAATACTTCCTACAGCTTATTCTGTATTTAAATATATATATATATATGACTTTTTCTCTTTTTTTTTTTTGTTTTTTTACTTTGGAGTATGTATATATTAAAATCCTTTCTGCTTTCTATTTGTTTTACATTTTATGAAAAAAATATTTAAATTAAGCTAAAATTTTAAATACAGTGAACTTCAAACTTAGTAGGGAAACAAATTACAACCTTATTCCGAACTACCTTCTTGTAACAAGTAGCTAAGTCTCAGCCAGTCATAGGCTGCCAATTGTACAGAAAATATACATACAAGGCAAATGCCATGCTGTTATAAATCAACTTGCTTCTGTGCTTCGGACGCCCCTTAAAATTAGCCAGCTATCTCTTTTATTTTCCAGCTATTTATTTATTTACTTGTTTATTTTAATATAATGCTTCACCATTTGTTTGAGAAGACTGCATTTGCACCAATACTGATAAACACAGGTGTTTCTTCCTTTTGTTTTTGTTGCTTGATTCTTCAAGGTACTCTATATAATAGAATATGGGATATTTATATATCTGTAACTAGCATATTTTACTTAACCCCTTACCCTCTAGTTACACTCATTTTCATGCAATCCACAAAATTTTGTTTTCATAGCTGAATAATAGTCTATTGTACATATGCACATTTTCTTTATCCCTTCATCTAATGATGGACACCTCAGATCATTCCATATATTCTGTATTATGAACACTGCTACAGTAAACAAGATGGCTACAGATATCTCTTTTATACAATGTGTTCATAGGTTATAGGGCATACAACTAGTAGATGGCTCAATCATACACTATAATCATTTCAGAAATTTTATGAAGTGACTGAATTAATTAATAACCCCATCAACACTGTGTAAAAGTTCTCATTCTCTACATTTTCACCAGCATTTGTTACTCTTTCTTCCAAATAATATAATAATAACCATATGGACAAGGTTGAGGTGATATTTCATTGTGATTTTGATTTACATTTCCCTAATGGCAACTTTTTAAGAACTACCTACTGAGATCTCTAGCTCACTCACTCTCTTTTACATTTTCTCCATTCCCAACTCTGTATTTCAAATAAAAACCAAAACACATGCCACTGGGGTTAGCCCTTTGCTTTAGCAGATAAAGAAACTGACATACTACATGGGCATTGGTTCATATCCTGGATGCTCCACTTCTGACCCAACTCCCTGATAACAGGCCTAGAAAGGAAGTGGAGGATGGCTCAAACACTTGGGTTCCTGTAACCAAGTTGGAGACCTGGACAAAACTCCTGGCCCATGATTTAAGACTTGCTCATCTCTGGACATTCTGGTTATTTGAGGAGTGAACCAGCAGATGGGAGATCTCTCTCCACCTCTCTCTCTTTCTTAGTAGCTCTGCTTTTGAAAGAAAGAAAGAAAGAAGAAAGAAAGAAAGAAAGAAAGAAAGAAAGAAAGAAAGAAAGAAAGAAAGAAAGAAGAAAGAAAGAAAGAAAGAAAGAAAGAAAGAAAGAAAGAAAGAAAGAAAGAAAGAAAGAAAGAAAGAAAGAAAGAAAGAAAGAAAGAAAGAAAGAAAGAAAGAAAGAAAGAAAGAAAAAGAAAGAAAGAAAGAAAGAAAGAAAGAAAGAAAGAAAGAAAGAAAGAAAGAAAAGAAAGAAAGAAAGAAAGAAAGAAAGAAAGAAAGAAAGAAAGAAAGAAAGAAAGAAAGAAAGAAGAAAGAAAGAAAGAAAGAAAGAAGAAAGAAAGAAAGAAAAGAAAAGAAAAGAAAAGAAAAGAAAAGAAAAGAAAAGAAAAGAAAAGAAAAGAAAAGAAAAGAAAAAAAGAAAAGAAAAAGAAAAGAAAAAATAAAAACCACCCTGCAAAAGCAAATGGCACTGTGGCATATCAGGTTAAACTACCAAACTCCCCAATTCCAATCTAGCTTTAAGCTAGATTCTGCAGTGGAATCAGAAGATGGCTCAAGCACTAGATTCATCTAGAGACACAGTTGGACCTCCTGGTTCTTCTCTTTGACACAGTCCAGCCCTGACCACTGTGGACATTTGGAAAATCAATCAGCAGATAGCAGACATGTCTTAAATCAGTTTTTAAAATAAATAAAAACCTCCAAATGCTACTAGGCACCAAAAAAGCAAAACTGAAACCATAACAACTTTTTTTTTATATTTGGAAACTCTTACTACTCCCAAATGTTGAGTGCTTATTTTTAGGTTGGTACTGAATAATTTTCATTATATCATCTGTAAGATCAATAAACACCATTTCAAACTTGATATCCCACAATAATTAACAAATTCTTACTTTCAATTTGAATCATGTAATAAATATGTCTTGGATATTCCATCAGAAAACGTCGAGGGAAAGTTTGAATCAGATTTAACTGCTCCAGTGTCTAATTATGACAATCTTACCTTCTTTCTCTCATGCTTATTTCTTTGTCTTACTTTAAGAAAACCATAACAAAGCTCCTACAACACAATGTAAAACAAGCTGAGACATAAACATGTAACTTACTGAAAGTGTGGTTGTGTTCTCTAGACTTGGAAGCATGTAGTGGGTTTCTTCCACCTAAAAGAAAAGGTGGATAGAGGGAGTTATGAATTGGTTTTGCTTTCCCAAGTTTCCTTATTATTTCCTATTGTGTAAGTAATGTCAAGACAGGAACCAGACACAACGGCTAGAGAAACAAAGACAATCAACTTTCCTGGGCATGAATAGTGCATTACAGATGACAAGTGCCACAAAGGCTTCCTAGAAACAGCATAAACAAGTTCAATAATTGGCAGTGATTAAACTCAAGCTATTACTAGGTTAAAGCAAACATTTTATACTTACTTAAAAATAAAAAAAATATATATTACTGACTTATTTTTTTAACTATTGTCCAAATTACAGCATACCATAAAATATATATATTGTCACTAAAATTTATGCTACTCAAAAATAATTGGTGGTATTAAGTATTTCTCTATTTCTACACATGAGCTGCACAGGACTCCATATAAGGACTTCCATTAGAACATTTCTTGCTGTTAATACTAAAAACTGTTGAAGGCAGACATTTTTCAATTAGAGTAATTTTATCTGCACTTATACAGGAAAAATTGATATAATGCATATTTATTCTATTATTATATTAGTAGTAGTAAAATGGTTTATATATTTTTAAACACTTGAAAATGGGACTGGTGTGGTAGTCTAGTGGCTAAAGTCCTCACCTTACATGCGCTGGGATCCCATACTACAGCTGGTTTGTCTACTGTCCAGCCAGTTCCTGTCCCATCCAGTTTCCTGCTTGTGGCCTCAGAAAGTACCCGAGGATGGCCTAAAGCCTCAGGACCCTGTTCCTACATGGGAGAATCAGAAGAAACTCCTGTATCCTGCCTTTAAATGGGTTCATCTTCTACATTTAGGCCACTTTGGGAGTGAACTAATGGATGGAAGATCTTCCTCTGTGTCTCTCCTCTTCTCTATATCTGACTTTGTAATAAAATTAAGTTTTTAAATACTTGAAAACTGAGTCATGCTAAAATCTGAAGCACTTTTACCTGTCAGTAATGGATAACATACTAAGTAAGAAAAACTGCATTATAAATTGATTGTATTCACACAATCCAAAGTATTGAAAAAGGATTTGCAGAGAAGAGACAAAGACAAAGGTCTCGATCCCTGCTGATTCACTCTTCAAGTGGCTGCAATGGCTGGAGCTGAGCCGATCTGAAGCCAGTAGCCAGGAGTTTCTTTTTGGTCTCTCACACAGGTGCATGTTCCCAAGGCTTTGGGCCATTCTCTACTCCTTTCCCAGCCCACAAGCAGGGAGCTGGATGGGAAGTGGAGCATCTGGGACATTAATTGGTACCCACATGTGATTCAGGTATATCCAAGGGTTTAGCCACTAGGCTATAGCACCAGGCCCACTAGAACTCCACTGGCAGATCAGAGACACAGCTTGCAGGAGGAGCTGGGGCTGTCCGCAACCAAGTACGCTGCAACACAAACCATGCTGGAACTGTGAGCACGCTGGACTGACACAGGCTGAAGCACCCACTGGTTGATGCCGAGGCAAGGCAAGTCATGCCAGTCTGGGGTGGAAAGGCAGTGACTATGAGGCTTGGGAACAGTGGTCTGACACGGTCCTTGGGCCCATCTGTGTGTTGGATGCTGGGTTTGTGAGCCCTGGGGGAATGGGGGTTTTGGTGGAACCAGCATCACATGACCAGGGTCTTTGGGCTCACCTGTGTGGCGGGTACCTGTTCCAGTGGTGTTCAAGTAACCTGGTTGATGTCCTTGAGCCTGCCTGCATGGTGGGTGCTGCGTCATTGAGGCTCAGAAACAGGAGGTTAGTGGGTTCAGGCAGTCTAGCCTAGTCTGTCCTTGAGCCCACACGCAGGTGGATGCTGGGTTCATGAGCCCTGGGGAGGGGAGGTCTGGTGAGATCTAGATCATCTTGGACCCACCTGCATGGTGAGTGCCAGGGCTGTGAGCTCTAGGGGGAGGGGGTCCAGTGGTGTCAGGGTTGAATAGCCCAGTCCTTGGGTCTTCCTGCAAAATGGGTCTAGGGTCAGGCAGAGGCCAAGTCATATGTTCTAGGTCCTTGAATCTGCTTGTACAGTGGGTGCTGGGTCTTGGGCCTCAGGGGCAGAGATCCCAGTGGGACTCAGATCACAGGACTCGGCTCCTGGGGCCCGCCTGCATGGTGGATGCTGCTCATGTGAGCCCCTGGGGCGTGGGGTCAACTACATGCCACATCTCCTGGCCTGGATCCTTGAACCTGACTCATACATTCTTTCTTAGAAATAAGTAAATTTTATCGGCCTATTTCAGTAGCCTAGTGGCTAAAATCTTCATCTTGCACATGCTGGGATCCGATATGGGTGCTAGTTCATGTCCTGGCAGCCCTGCTTCCCACCTGGCTCCTTGCTTGCAGCCTGGGAAAGCAGTAGAGGATGGCCCAGGACCTTGGGAACCTACACCTGTGTGGGAGACCTGAAGAAGCTCCTGGATCCTGACTACAGATCAGTTCAACTCTGGCCATGGCAGTCAGTTGGAGAGTTGTCAGTGGATGGTAGATCTTCCTCTGTCTTTCCTCCTCTCTGTATATCTGAATTTCCAATAAAAATAAGTTAAAAGATAAGTAAAGCTTATTTTTGATGATATTTACATACTTGAGAGGGATGCATGCCCATGAAGACAACCAATTACAGTGGGGAGGTTGAGGAATGGAAGAAAGTAGATGAGACGGATCTTTGGATGACACTGGGTGGCCTTGCCCCATTCCTGGGTAGCTGTTAATGGATTGCCACAATAGCTGATGTTCAGTATACTCAAACATTGGAGGCTATAAATGAACTCATTATAAATGAACACAGAACTCCATCTACTGTGCCAGTTTATCTGGCATGCTCTGTATTCTTTCTTGTGTTTCAGAAACCTATACTAACAAGTCTTGTCTGTCTCCTTCTGTATCCAGCCCTATGTGCCTCTGGCTATGCCTGCTTTTATGTATCTCAGATCTTGCTCATGGCACTGTACGTTATCTACAGTTTGAACACGTCACATGACTGGGACCCATGTTCATCCTTGCATTTACCCATTTTAAAAATCTCATTTAAACCAGATCATTAAAGTCAATTGTCCTTGTGCCTACAACATAAGCCAGCTGCTTGTAAAGAATCATTCACTCTGTTCAATAAGCAGTATTATTAGATATTCTATACCTTTAGAAAAAATTCTATCTATTCATTACTTTATTTTAAGGACTGAATGGGACAGTGGCCACTAAGGCAGATGTGCCACCTTAAATACCTGCCACTCCTAGGTCTTGAACACCTTAGGGTGTCATAACTGTAAGCTTCATGCCCTTTAGGTTTAAATTGAATTCTCTGCCAATCCTCTGTACTTTATGACATGGTACCTGACAGCTCTATTCACCAATGCCCTGTGGTACTTATCCCCATTGTCCACTTACATCTGCATCTGCCAAGCCTGCGTCCCTGCACTCCCAATACTCACGTCTATACTATAAAGTTACCTTTCCTTTATTCTGCTCTCACTCACTGCTTTCTTGGTCTGTCCCTCATTACACTCCCATTCCCTATCTCTTATCTTTGTCTCTTTCCCACCTATCATGCACTCACTCGGGTAGGAGATAAGATAAAAATAATTAAAAAATTAATATTTACACATTCGTTCAGTAACTTGCTATAACAGAGACCTCCAAAAGCAATGAATATTCAACTAAAGATTTTTAGAGTTTAAATTTTATTTTTAGGTTTCTTTATTTATCGGAAAATCAGATATACAGAGAGGAGGAGAGACAGAGAGGAAGATCTTCCGTCTGAAGATTCACTCCCCAAATGAGCGCAACGGCCAATGCTATGCCGATCCAAAGCCAGGATCCTGGAACTGCTTCCGGGTATCACATGTGGGTGCAGGGTCCCAAAGCTTTGGCCCGACCTCAACTGCTTTCCCAGCCCACAAGCAGGGAGCTGGAAGGGAAGTGGAGTTTCCGGGATTAGAACAGGTGCCCATATGGGATCCCAGCGCATTCAAGGTGAGCACTTTAGCCACTAGGCCATAGCACCAGGCCCACAGAGTTTAAACTTTAAGATTTTTTTTTTAAATTCATCTTTATTGGAAAGTAAGATATACAGAAAGAGATAGAATGATTCACTCCCCAAGTGACCGTGATGGCCAGAGCTGAGTTGATCTGAAGCCAGGAAACAAGAGCCTCCTTCTGGGTATCCCACACAGGTGCAGGGACCCAAGGCTTTTGCTGTCCTCCACTGCTTTCCAGTCCACAAGCAGGGAGCTGGGTGGGAAGCAGGGATGCCAGGATTAGAACCTGTATGACATCCTGGTGCATTTCAAGTGAAAATTTTAGCTGCTAGCCCATCACACCAGACCAAGAGATAAATATTTTCTGAATATAAACTTAATACCTAGCCTCTTGTACACTATGAACAATATTTGTGCATAACTAAATATAACACTAAAAGCATTCCCTAAAAAGTACAATGTTTATATCAAGGATAAACTGGTATAGAATTAAAATCTAATCAACTCTTAAACTGTTTCAATGTATGAGATGAATTCATTCTGATAGTTAATATATTAAGATGCAAAATAGTTACAAACATGGAAATGTGTTCTTGATGAGGAAGATTATAAAAGAAAAATGTATGTGATATAATTGATTATAGTTTTTTACCATTTGCAACATTTTCTAAACATTTATCATTGATACATGTGATAGAAATCTGATCCTCTGTTAAAGCAAGTTTTAAAATACATATGTTATTGCAACATCTTTTAAATGGCTAAAAGGCTTTTACCACAATTAATAACAAAACTTTCCACCTAGCTCCAATAAACTCTAGCTCTGTTGAATTGTCTCAAAATATAAGACATGTGAATGTACCACCTCTTATATCCAAGTGCTTTTTTTATATAAAAGTAATATTTGTGTTTCTGCCTTTCAATAGGTTTTCATTGCTTAAGATTAGCAAATGGCATGACATGGTAACCTAGTGGTTAAAGTCCTCACTTTGCCCACACTGGGATTTCCT